CTGGAATGCTGTGCCATTGCGATTCCCAGCCTCATAGAAGTCAATATATGTTCAGCTTTTGCATATGCAGTTATGGCTTATGCAATTCAAGGGTGAAGCTAGGAGATACAATCTCACCATCTGGCCTTTCTGAAGACAGCTTTATCTTGCTGTAACCAAAGAGATGATGACTCAGATCTCACACTGAACTGAGGTATTAGAAATCACGCAGAAGAGAACCAGATTAGATTTACACAATTTTTTTCTTTGGACCATAGTTTATTTAAAAACACACACACAACCGGATGTGTTCACTCAATACACTAAGACATGAATAATTATTTACAAACCTAAATGTCCAGAAATAACATGTTAAGCTACTAAAGAGATCACATTCCAGGTGGTATTTGGGAAACCACTCTGCATGTATAGTGGATATAATATATGCCCCAAGGCAACTCTTTTGTTGAAAGGGGCAGTTCCAGCCACCACACATACAGTGCAGCCTAATTTCCATGGGCACCACACCTATTTTGAGCTAATCTTGAAATGGCTGTGAGTAGGCAACAGATGCTTGTTCAGAATTAGTGCTGGAATAGAAACACTTTGATTTCATGATTGTATGATTTTTTAAAAACAAAAACAAAAAAACCATTGGATATTAAACTTCACCATCATTTTTAAAAAAAACTATAAAGCAGCATTTTCCATACTACGTAGAGATTCTATATACTAGCGGTATGTAGGACACCAAAGTCCATAAATCCTAGACAGTATAACTGAGAGTTCAATTATAGGATGCCAAGTTAAGGAAGAAGTCAACCAAAAGTGCACACATTCAAGATTCATCTGAGGGCATCTCAATGTTAGAACATTGCACCAGTTCAAAAACAGCTTTGGATCCACGCAAGTAGATAACATTGACTGATTCTGAGAATACACATGCACTCACGCACACTCCAGACACACAGACACAGCATCGTTGAGTGAATCACTGCAGTTCTTAAATTAAGTAACATGATTGTTAAATGAATCTGGCTTCCTCGTTGACTTTGCTTGTCAGAAGATTGCAAAAGGTAATGATCCCAAGATATCATAACATCATAAATACATGCTGGTTGCCAAGCAGTCCGAACTTTTATCACGTGACCAAGGGGATGCTGGAACAGTTGTGAGTGTGTAAAACAGGCATTAGTCACTTTTTCAGTGCCATTGTACCTTCGAACATTCACTAAATGAGGATTACCTGTAACATTTTACCAGCATGGATGGGGAGAATGCTACCATTTTCCTTTTTAACTATTTTTGCATTGAATAAAGATTAGGAGAGTTTTGCAACTCTGTGAATCAGGCTAGTTTGGGGCAATAAGCAAATGCCAGTCTTTGTACTCTATTGATTAGCTAGACATTTAACTATGTAGATTAGACAGGTTCATAGGTGAAGATGGTTCAGCAGGTTAGCCTCAAGCTATCTTCATGGTTCATGTAAGATTGGGAATGAGAAACAGAAAAGCCGAGAAGGGAAAGTGACCATAAATAATTGCTTAATCATGCAAAACATGCTGTAATAATGCCAAGTCCACCTGGCTCACCATTCTATTGCCATAGTGATTGGCAGATGCTTCCAGGAAATTCACACAAGGACTACATGTTGCTACTCATTCTTTTATTTGCTTCCATAATCTCATAGAATGAAATATATGCCTTTGAACATAGATGTTTTGTGTCTGGCTATAGGACTAATATCCCTAAACAGATGTCTAACTATGTGTGTTACTTTAAGCCATCAAAGACTGTAAGAATCAAACAAATTCAAACTTGCAGCAGTTATTTTGGTTTTAGATAGAACTCATCTTACCCATCAAAGCCTGGTACAAAAGACACACACTTAGCATTTATTCTTCAGTACCAGAACTGATCAGAAAACATAGTCCTTTCATTAAATGTCAACCTTTAATTACTCACTATTTTTCTTCTTATACTGTTCTTCCTCCCAGAGGAACATTTGGGGGGGGGGATGTTACATAAAATTTGCACAATGAAACTAGCAATACTTTAGAACAGAGGTGTCAAACTGGCAGCCCACGGGCCAGATGTGTCACATGTAGGCCACGCCCATCCCAGCACTGCAAAGGGGGAAAACGTCACAAAATGTCACATGACGGTAACATGACTCTGCATTTAACACTCATCCTTTAGAGAGAATAACACACTTTTTTTAAAGGTTCCTTGTTTTTTAAAAAAAGTGAAATAAAGAATCTGGTCATTGAACAGTTACCTCTTAAATGGGATTGTCTCAATCTTTCTACATTTCAGCTCTGTATTTGGGGGTGAAGGCAGCAGAGTTGTTTTGTTGCTTTGGCTAAATGGAAGTAAGATGAGATTTGATATTTGTAAGACATAAAATTTGATATAAAGTGTCATTTGCATTACAATTCTCATCCCTCCCTTTATTGGCCTTCTTGGCTAGGATATATAAGAATTACATCTGGAGTCACATTGCCAATGGTGATATTGAGTGCTATCCAATCCAGTGAGACCTTTCTGATTATTACCTTCAAGGTGGAGGCAGGCTTTCAAATAAGACTCTGCAGAAAATCTCCTTCAAATATAGAAAGAGAGGTCAGATTCTCAGACCACTGTATAATTGACAATGAGTTCCCTTCCAGCACCATAGAATATCCATCTTTTTGTGACCATGAAACCACACAATATTCATTCCACTTGTCCATCTGTAAATTTCCAAACCATCTGTATATAATTTAAGAAAATTTAAAGCATCTGCAAAAAACAATGAAATCTTTCAAAACAGAGTAGATAAACCTCCATCCCATAAGGAGCCATTATAATATATAGCCATTTCATATAGGGAAAGCTGCATTTTAAATGTCATGGTATCAACAATTAGCTAAACTCAAATTTTCTTCCTGAATGGGCAAGTGTCCAACCCACTCAAAATAGCAATTTTCATTGGCTTCATCATAAGTTTAAATATTAATGTACGGAGCTCTATTGGCTGTCTGCCATCTTTCTGCCCCTTCTGCAATAAGATTTATGTTACATATCTTTATGGCATTTTTCTATTCTAGACAACCAAACTGATACAATTTTCAGCAGTCCCATAAGTTTAAGCACAATTTAAAGCATAATTTAAAAACCTCATTAGGCAATCAACATCCAGCCAAGAACAACCACCACCAACAGATTCTGTACAACGCTGGTAATCCTCAATTTACAACCATAATTGAGCCCAAAATTTCTGTTGTTAAGTGAAACATTTGCTAAGTTTGTTATGTGAACCACTGCAGCGGATGAGTTAGTAACCCGGTTGTTAAGTGAATCTGGCTTCCCCATTGACTTTGCTTTCAGAAGGTCACCAAAAAGTTGATCACGTGACTCCAGGATGTTGCAACCATCATAAATATGAGCCGGCTGCCAAAGTGTCTGAATTTGATCATATGATCATGGAGCTGCTGCAAAGGTCGTAATTGTGAACCACGGTCCTAAGTCAGGGGTGGGCTGCTCCGGGTTCAGGTTCCTCTAGCTAAGATTCGGGCGCGGTTTGGTGGACCACCAAATCCCAGCCCTGTCTGACCCCACCCACCCACCCTACCCCTCCCAGGAGTCTCCATGCAGCCCATTTTGGATGAGAGATAAGTGCAGGGCCCATGCAGAGGCTTGGGGAGGGGGAACAAATAGGCCTCCTGGAGGCTCCGGAAGGCCAGAAATGGGCCTGTTTCCAGCCTCCAGAGAGGCTCTGGAGCCCAGGGGAGGCCATTTTCCTCCTTCTAGAGGCTCAAAGAAAGCCTCCAGTGCCTGAGGAAAGTGAAAACAGCCCCGCCCCAGCTCTGCAGTGCAGAAGGCGGACTAGGCCACACCCACCATGGCCACGCCCACCCAGCAACCAGGTGGAGAACCAGTTGCTGACATTTTTGAAGCCCATCCTATGCCCTAAATCCCTTTTCTCAGTGCCGTTGTAACTGAACGGTCGCTAAGTGAACAGTTGTAAGTGGAAGACTATTTGTATTATTTCCCCCCCCCCTCCAAAAGCTTGTCCAGGAATTGTGTCTGGTGCCTAGAAGATCCAGCTATGAAGTCTAAGGACAGAAACAAAGGCTTAACTCCTAGGCAGTGGCCCCATCGGCTCAAACTCCCACCCAAGACGCTGCGCTTCATTGTTTGGGCTGGGCCCTGCGCCCATTTCCGAATGCCAGGACTCAATCCAGAACACGAAGAGGCCCGTATCCACCTCTGGCAAGTGGGAAGCCCAGGACCTCCGAGCGGCCTCCGAAGACCCCCGACAACAGGCAAAACCGTGCGGGGAAGCCCGGAAGGGGATTCAAATTCTGCCTGCGTTCTTTTCAGACAGACTCGGGACAAGGGAGCGGGACGTCCGCGGGTTTTGCAGCCTTGTCCCGAAAACCCGAGGACATCACAGGCATGCCAAATCCCCCAAAGCGGTTTTGAGCGGGGCTTTTCCGCTCAGCGTTCCCAGAGAACGCAGACCTTGGGACGCAATTCGCACGAAAGGGCGCCTTCGTCCCTCTCTTCGTCCCTCAAGCTCTCTGCTTTGAGGCAAGAAAGCCAAGGCAAACTCCCAAGCACACGGCCGGCGAGATCGGCCGAGCTTTGGAGCACAGCAGGCAAAACGCCCCCGGGCTAAGCTACCGCTTTAAATCTGGCCCGGAGTCTGCCTCGCCCTCGGAACGCGAGATTATTTTCTCTCTCTCTCTCTCTCTCGTGCGCGCGCGCGCTCGCTCTCTTTTTATGAATGAAAGGCTTCACAACAAAAATATGTAAATTAAGGTCGACTTGATTGGCTCTATTTTCCCGAATGAAAAAAAAAAAAAGTAAAAAGTTAGGGAGTTCATTGTTGCCGAGAGGCGGGTTTAGGATTGCTCTGGGAGGTGTTCTGACATCCGAGTGCGATTGGGTGCCTGGTAGGGTAAACAAGCGGTGATTGACAGGCCGTGGCAGGGTTGTGGGCCAATGGGGACGGGGCGAGGCGGACTCTGGAGGCCGTTCGGGGGCTTGGAGAGCAGCCCGAAGACGACACAGGGCTTCTAGCGACTGCACCGCGGCAGCGCGATAGTTCTAACGGCAGGTGAGGAGGGGCAAAGGCTCGCTTAGCCTTCAGGCTTGGGGTGGAAATCCGGGCCCAGGAGGCTAAGCTGTGGGGTCGGTGGGCTCGTGAGTGCCGGTGGGCGGCGGGAGCGGGTTTTCGGGGGGGGACAGGTGCTTAAGGTGTCTGTCTCCAGGATGATGAGGATTTGCGGAGTGTGCGGAGAAGACCGTTGCGACTTTTAATTGGAGTCCGCTGGGATAAGGCCGGCTCTCGGGAGGGAATGGGAGCAAGGATTGCAAGAATGCATGGAAAGAGACAGTATGGCGAAGAATTGCGAGGGAAAGCTGTACAGCCGCGCCGCCACTGGCTGCAGCAGGCACTGGCTCCGCTGAGAGGATTGGTGCTTGCTTTTTTTTTTTTTTTTTTTTTGTGAATGTGGGCGATTTTATGAATGGAGCTGGTTTTCTGTGAATGGAGCGCCTGAATGCGGGGGCGGGGGCTGAACCTTTTCGCTGCGTTCTGCTCGGGGGAGGGGGTGGTATATCTGAAGGCGTTTAATGAATGGAGTGCGTCCCTTGTTATTGTGAATGAGGCCCCGCGTTAGGGTTCTAGTTACGCTGTACCTGCTCTGGTTGTTTGCTCTGCCATTCATAAAACTTAGGCCAGATTCGCGCGCGGCGCGGGGGAGGGGATTGTAACTCTATTGTTTGGCTACGGGAAAGGTTTTTCAGGTTTTTCACATAAGGTTCAAAAGAGGAAGAAGTAAAAACGGCGGCTATAATGCAAAATGCGAAGTAGTGAATATGCTGTTTTATCTTCCAGTTATTGCTTTAAATGTCAAACATTTTAAAACCGATAGGGTATTTTAGAAATTCGGGGTTTTCTCTAGATTTCTAGTTGACAATTTTGGGATTTTCCTTCTGGCATTTAGGAATAGCCTGCCACAGTTGATCTGCTAGGATAGAGACGATCATAAGCTGTTTTCTTACCACCCCTGTGGTGCTGTAAAACTACAGCTTTTCCAGAAGCTTTTCTTTAGAGCATAAATGTTTTATCTTTGTCGACCATTTAGCAAAATCTGGCTGGACGAACTAGCTACAAAACTGCCTTGAAAAAAAAAAACATTCACAGGCTACTTAAAAGTCTTGAAAATTCCATCAATAAAACAAGAACTGAGTTATTTAGTGCCCTCTCTCAGGAGTTATCTAAGATTTCTTAGTATTCTTTTGCTAAAACAGGAGTGCTTAAAAGGGTATCCATCCTGAATTTATTTTGTAGGAAGTTGAATATTGAATGAAAATTTAGTAAGTTCATGCTTAAGTTCTGGAAAATTACCTTCTCTTTCTATCTGAAACAGTTAGGCCTCGGGCATCTTTCATCTGAAAGCTGAGCTCTTACACAACAGAATTGATTTTCTTTGCACTTGTTGCTATTTATATTCTAGCTCTAGATCACATAGAAAGGAAAATGAACTTGAAAACCTATGACTCTGGCTTGTAATACATCACTTTGTAATTGGCATTTGCTTTTTGTGCAATCATAACTGTTTCCATAGTAATTCTGTGACACCACCAATAAAGTTGAGACCTATTATCTGTTGGTTGCAAAGAAAAATAAGATGAGGGTTAAAACATGAATAAATATAATAAAAATTAGATGAAGAAAGGTACTGTAATGGGGAGTATAACAAATAATCTGCAAAATTTTTGAATTATGCTCACATACTGCTAGAGAAAGTCTGTTAAAATGTAATGGTTATGGGTTTTGTTTTTTTAAAAAAATCTCTCTTCTCTCCAGTTTTAGATCTTCCAGAGCTAGATTTTGAACCCTTCTTATCCTGGAATTGCTCAATGCTAAAACCATTCAAAGGAATATTTAAGAATCTGCAAACACAATGGATGGCTTTTATGACCAGCAAGTCCCTTTCATGGTTCCTGGGGTACGTCTTGTATGGTTATACATTTTATGCAACTGTTTTCTTTATGCATGAAAGTTCTCTACTAACACCTTCCCAAGTTTTTGTGCCAAGTTTTATTTATTTTATTTGCTATTTGACCATTTGCCCTTTGTAGCTATTTTTTTTTTGTCTTTCTTTTTTTTTCTTTCATTAGAAATCTTGCACAGATGAATGTCGTGGAAGGCCAGTGAATGAAAGAAAAAGGAAATTTCAAGACACTGATCTGGCTCATGATTCTGAAGGTAGACTCATTACCATTCTTAATAGCACATCTAAACATTTTTGTAGCTTTTTAGTAGCCTTTTTTTATTTTCTTTCAGAATTGTTTCAAGACCTTAGTCGGCTTCAGGAGGCTTGGTTAGCTGAAGGTAAATCCCATTGATACCATTTTCTACATTTTTATTGTTCTTTGTTAGCTGTTGATTATAGTTATCTGTGAAACATGCTTCTGCGGCTGTTTTCTGTGCCTGTTTGAACCTTATCTGCAATGCAAACAAATGCATAGTCTTTAATATTGATCACAATTGTATTTTCCAAAATATTTGCAGTTTGTTTATTTAACAGAAACCCAGTTCATTATTTTTTTTTCATTTTTGTAGCCCAAGTTCCTGATGATGAACAGTTTGTCCCAGATTTCCAGTCTGACAACTGTAAGTCACATTTTTAATCTTTGATTTTCTTGCCCTGAAGGCTACAAAAGATGATAAAATAGATGACTTGTTCCCTTGCGTTTGTGTGTCCCCTTTATTAATAGAATGCAATTCCGGCGGGTGCATGTTTATGGGATTTGTGAAGTCCATGTGACTTGGAAGGGATGGGACTGAATAGGAAGGATGGTGTTGGAGACTCTATTCATAATGGCCTTGCTTTAACTGAAGAATTTTGGAACATTTGTGCGGAAATCTTTGAGGCTGCGCCTAACCTTGAATCCCGCAGAATCCTTTCAAGTCCCCATGAATACTTCATATTATAAGAGATATTTAAAATCCATTTGCCCGTGAGTACACAAAAGCACTCTTACCAGCCTTTTGCCTCTAATTCCCTCAGTGACTTTCCTAGCTGTTATAGCTGTAGCTCATGAAGCTATGAAGGACAAAGCGTTGCTGGTGAAACTTGAGCAGCTTTAGGGAGTATTAGTCATTGGCAAGCCGCAGTTCTATGAAGGCAGCTACCAGAGTGCTCCCGCTGCATCACCAAGAGATTTCTGTCTTGTGTGCAGGGTTTAATAATCCTGTTTATACCTCTTAACACAAGCATGTTTTGTGCATAGTTTTCAGCCGTGGTCTTGATGTGTTGCAAGAAATGATGTTCTTAAACATCAGTGCTCAGACAGTATTTATTTGGGACAGGGAGCTTCTCTTATGTTTTTGCTGTTCTGGTTGCCACAGTATCTGAAGGCAAGAAAAAAAAAACATAGCCTGCAGAGGAACGGATTCTTGATTTCAGCTCTGTCACAGCATGCAATGGAATATCTTGTGCTACAGTAAATGCATGTTAATTATTGTCTTTTGATTACTTTGAAGTGAGTGGGAAAGTTGCCATGAGAGCTTCTCCAGACAGGCAACATGTTTGCTGGGGTTTGCTTGTATGTGTGTGTGAAAGATTGTTTGTGTATGTGTGTGTCCCATCCCTTCCCTCCTTTGGAGATGAAAGAGAGCCTGCAGTAATAAATTTTCTTTCTATGTTGACATTCTCGCCCAACCCTTCCAGTTCTTGCTGGGAGCAGTAGAAACTGAAATTAGGCTGTGTGCTAGGTTGTGTGGGAGGATCTGTTGTAGCAGAGATGTGTTCAGATACCTCTCTCCAGGCTTAGAACCAGCCCAGAACCTGAAGGATTATATGAAAAAAAACAAATGTCCTCTAAAAAAAGATGGGTGGTCCCGGTAAACCTAGCTTTCTTGTGTTGGAGAAGACAACAGTACATTAATGGTGATCAGCATTCATGATAACCATGTTAATGCCAGAAAATATTTCCATTGGAAGCAGCTTTACATATGAACAAATGGGTTTTTGCCTGGAATGGTAATTTGTTTGGTTAATACAGTGTTAAATCCTTCTGGATTTGGATTTTTTTAAAAAGTATATCTAATTAAATGGTTAAAAAAAACCCTACGCTGTACAATATGGGTACCCAAACATCTGAGAGTCACGCCTTAAAAGTAGCTAATGGAGCAGGACAAAAATTAGAGTCAATTTATATTGTACTAAATTTAATTAAAATGTAATATAATTAATATGGCATTGTTTTCATGATTTTCTTCATCAATCACATTAAAAGTTCAATTTAGTAATACCTTTTGGAGGTTTCTGAAGATTGTGACAGAGGTTTTCAAGAGGCACATGAAGCCTTGCAAACTCAAGCTAAGACATCCAAGTCAAACTATAAATTAAGTATACTGTAAGTGATCAAATGCTATCAACAGAGTTCTACAGAATTCACTACGAGGTGTTATAGTAATTTGGGGAGGGTTGAGTTATTGCCTTTTTTAGAAAGATATCTGGAGAGGAAAATCTACAGATCAAAGATCTCTCCTGCATTTGTGAAACCCAGTAGCAATAAAGCTTGCTATAAAGAAGAGGAATACTATAATATAAGAAGTAAATGAATAAAGGGCACCATTTGCACATTTAATGCTTTTTTGAAGCTCTGCTAGCATGGCATAGATTTATAGTGTATGATTCATGGCTAAATTATTATTGTGGATTCTGGCGCAAAAATCAACTGGTATGACTATTGGGTTAATCACAAACATATTTACTTAGAAGTAAATCCCATTTAAACTGGTGAGGCTTTGGGCCAAATGAATGGATATTGTGTTGGAGTTATTAAGGATACGGTTGAATCTGTTCTTGTTTTAAATGCTTGTCTGCTCTGCGGGGGATTAGCGTAAGTGTTTTAAATGTATTTTAAATTCTGGGAGATAATGTTGGAAGATTTTTCTTTCTTTTGATGCTTCTGATTATATAATTGCATAAATTCAAATTCTGGAGTACCTGTTTATGTAGAATGCTTAAAGTATAATTTTTATGAAAGCAAAGGCACCAGTATGTCTCTGTGTGTGTCTTCCTCTAATTTAAAACTGTTGAAAAAGTAAGAACAGCAGCTATAAGTACTTTCCCCAATCTAGTATTTTCCAGATGTCTTAGATACAGCTTCCTTCACAAGAAGAAAACAAGTTGAGATAGGCTGCTATAAGTTAACATGCTTGCCTTCTTTTTTTACTTAAAAAACCTATTTTGAATCTTATTGTCTCTATCCTTTTTAAAGTGCTTGTATCTTAATACGCATTTCCTCTTTTTTATTTTTTATTTTTAATGAAGAAAGATACAGTTGATAGCATTTGTTGTTTTGGTTCTGAATTGTTTCCTTCCTTGTGGTAACAATTTGATTTAGGGAAGAAAGTTTCTTTCCCTAGGGTAACAGTAACATAAATGCATAGTTAGCACTATGTGGTGGGACACATCCATTGGAGGATGGGTGCTTCTGATATTACTTGTGACAAAACTTCTCTCTTTTTTTGCCCCGTCTGCACAACTGCATTGCTGGGTGACCATTTACAAATTCTTAAAAGAAAGTATGTCTTCTACCTCATTATTTTCTTGGATCCTCTGAATGTGAATGATCTGGAATATCCACAGTGGAAAGGGGTGAGGTACAAAGACCACTCGTGTAGGGCTCAAATAGTACAGGTAGTCCTTGATTTGCAATAGTTCATTTAGTGACCATTTGAAGTTACAGCAGCACTGAAAAAAGTGACCCGTGGTGATTTTTCACACTTATGACCTTTGTGGCACCTCCATAATTATGGGATCAAAATTCAGGCACTTAGCAACCGACTCATTTTAGGACGGTTACTGTGCCCTGGGGTCATGTGATCCCCTTTTGAAAAGCAAAGTCAATAGGGAAGCCAGATTCACTTAACAACCATGTTACTAACTGAAAATGTGTGGTGATTCACTTAACAGCTGCAGTAAAAAAGGTCTTGAAGTGGAGCAAAACAATTTTCTCACTTAGCAACATAAAGCTCGGCCTCAATTGTAGTCATTGAGGACTACCTGTAGTGCAAATATTTTAAATAATTTTTTGATAAAGAAACAATAACAAATAAAGCAAAGCTGCTTGCTTGGCTTCGTAGGTATTAAGCAAAGCTCTGAAGCTTTTGTGCACTTTTACAGAGGAGTAACTGGGGAAGCCAGATGTCTCTTGTAATGGTTCTAAATCGGGAAGATTTTTCCCCTCCCTGGAAAAAGAATTATCCATTTGTTCTTTCTGAATAAGAGCAACAGAGCAGAATACCTAAGCACTTTTTCCCTAACTTCCAAATGTTTTTCATTCTGATGTATGAATTGCTTCATTTGGGCTATTGGGAATTCTTTTTTGGCTAGGGTCCTCCTTTACAGCCTGCAGTCTGGGCTTGCTCCAAAATGTATGCTGGTCATTAAAATTGCAGTGAAAATTGCCATTTTATTACTAGTCTATGTCAGAAGAATTGTTTAGTTCTGCTTCTGCTGGACAGTTCTGTTTGGCATTTAAAAAATAAAGAATTGCACTTCCTTTTCCTTGTCAGAAAACGGGGTGCAATTTTTGTGTTATGGTTTATTTTAACTGATGTTGTTTTAAGCTTGCCTTGTCTCCGAGGCTCTGATTTTTTTTATGTAGAGAAGATTTTCAACAAGGAAAGTTAAGCATGTGATCTCATAACATGGTATAATCTAGCTGCATGATGTGATTCAGCTGGTTATTTATTTCATTTGATTTGTATGAGGAAAAAGTTGAATGAGAAGAGGCAAGTCTTTGCAATTCTTTAACTGAACTGAGCAGCCTCCTCCTAACTGCAGTTTAGTTTTGACTCTATTTTGGCATCAGAGAATGGGGCAAAGCCACAATGGCATAAAGCACAAGATGTACAACATACTTGGTGCTGTTTCAGCATTATTTGTTTACTTTGCTGCTGCCTGTGTACAGCAGGCAAGATTAAAAACATAAGACACCACTCACTCTAATAATCTTATATTCCTGGCTTTGATCTGATGTGATCCACTGATACAAATCACTCTTAATTATAATGAGGATATTAGACCATATACTTTCTCAGTACATGTATGCAGATATACAAAGGTGTGTACATGTGTTTATGTGTGTGGGTGTGTAATTGTAATATAATTTGAAGGCACTCCAGAACTCTTTCACTGGGTATTGGCATGGGGGACCAGACTCAATATTGCATGCTTCAAAGTCAACTTTCCTGCTATTTATAATTATTTTTATCAAGCAACACTGTAACTATTGCAGATTATAGAAATGGATTAAGTTTCATTGTTTCCTTGGAGTATCAAAGGGAAAAAAATGGTTTCCTTTTTTTGTTCTTGGCTTACTATTGAAGGTTTTTAAAATATTTGGCAGTAATCTGTTTAAAATACTTTTCCCCTTTTCCTTTTCACTCCAATTGAATGTTAGCAAGAAGTTACATAAACAAGGTTAAATATGCCTGGAAGAGCCGGCTTGATATATTGGTTAAGAAACTGGGAGATAGTGAGTTCTAGTCCTGTCTTGGGCACAAAGCCAGCTGGGTGACCTTGGGCTACTCAATCTGCCTCCGCCCTAGGAAAGGGGCAGTGGCAAGCTACTTCCCAAAAACCATGCCAAGAA